TCTTAGATGCAGAAGTATTATCGCATTTAAGGCATCCGCATCTCAAGCATCAAGCAAGATGGCTTTGCATCCAGAAAAACATTTAACGTAATCCAGTTTGAAGCACCAAGCATGTATAATAACATGGCTCTATAAGATATAATAAACGCATAATGTTAAGCTTTTTAATGCCTGTGGTTCTTGTTTGTTCCTCAAGCCTCTAAGCCACCGCTTTCCCTGCATTTCATCACACAGTACCCCTGGCCGGAGGCTCCTGTCTGGTCTGAGGCAGACCCTCCTGGGTTCCCTTGTGGCCCAGGAATGGAAATTCCAGGACTCATTCAGTCTCACCAGCAGGAAATGCTTCCTTAGCGCAGCCTCTCAGCTCCAGGGTGGACTGATGGACTGGAAGAGTTTAAATGAGAAGCTCACCCACTTTTCAGAAAGCAAATTCTCAACCCCAAGTGATAGTTCCGGGAACTCCAGTAAGAAACTCTTAACTAGCTGTACTTAGGCTCCTGAAGACTTGATAAAATAAACCGGTATCTAGCTAGGATTCAGCCAAAAGCAAACGCAGAGAAGCACTTACTCCCCTGGCTGCTGGCAGGATGCTGCTGAGTGAAGGGCCAAAGAGCTGGTGATCTTCAGATTTTAGATGAAAAGATTGCAGGCACCCTGCCCCCACCCACATCCACTGTCCCTATTCCACAGTTGCCAGCATCTCCACGTAGGTGTAACGACGTGTGTTAGGGACCTAACTGTCCCCAGTACCATGCCGGGCACTGTGAACACCATTTCATATGACTGTCATGGATGAGGGTCATTGGCAAAGATCTAGGCAGCAGGAAGTCAAACCCCAGGCCTGCCTGGCTCCTGCTGCCTCTGGCCCACAGCCAGAATTCATCTCAATCCCCTTGGGAAGAAGCCCTGGCTGCTGATGGAGTGGCACCCTGGCCTCAGTTCCCATGGGTTCCCAGCATGGCGGCCTGGGGCGCTGGCTCTGGGCCCCCACCGCCAGCATTCCTCACCCTCCTGTTCTGGCCCAGCCGCTCCTCTCCAGCTTCCTGACGCACGGCGCTGTGCAATCTCCCAAATGGGGCTCTAGCGTGGGTCTCCCCTGCCCACCTGAACCTACAGGGGCTCCCCACTTCCTACCAGATCAAGTCCAGCCCTGACCTACTTTTCCAATCTCAGCCCCCTCGCAGCTTCTCACTCCCGAAGCTTCTGGACCCTCTGGCTCCCAGGTTCACTCATTCAGCAGCTACTGAGCCCGTTATGTGTCAGGCCTTTTCCGGTGCTAATGGAGCTGCATTCCATCCAGTGGAGGAGACAGTAGAAGATGGATGACCGCAGGGAGGGGCCTCGCCCAAGCTCTGGCTCTTCCATCAATTGCAACAGGTTGCTTACCAGTGAAGCTGGTGGCCAGAGCGCCTCTCCAGCCCCCTGCGCCTCCCCCAGGCAGGGCCGGCCCTCCCATCCCCACCCCTCCGCTGCCTGAGTTGCTTCCCCTTTGCTCTGGCCTTAGACCCCTAACCGGGCCGGCACCAGCGGGTGCGCCTTCCCCTCCGCCACCGGAGGGCGCTGTGCTGCGGCCGCTCCCCAGTGTGAAGTGGGGGCGCGCTGCGCTGGGCGTGGGGCTGCCAGGACCCATCTGCGTAGGCCTGGCTGGGTCCGGAGCCCGGGTCCCGCGGGGGAGGCTTAGAAGCCTGCACCTTGGCGCCCACAGCCTTTCGTGCCATCCGCAAACACGCTCGGGCCCAGCGTGGGGACCCACAAGATGGGGGAGGGGGGTCACATTTGCCCTCCAGCACCTGTGGGGCCACCAGCCGCTAAGGGGACACTCGGGGAGGCCAGCCAGTGGGAAAGGCCTCGGGATTCGGCAAGGCAGAGGGCAGATGACCTTGGGCCAGTCGGAAGCTTCATTTTCCTCAGCAGAAGCTGGGCGGAGGGGAGAAGGGGGGCTGGGGCAGGCTGGCCCCCAAGAGAGGCCGGGAGGGAGGGGCTGCGCTCGCGGTGCCCTTGTAGGACCAAAGGGGAGACATTACATGAGGGGCCACCTGAGCGAGGCCTGGACAAGGGGAGGGGTGGCCGGACCCCCGTCTAGTCCTGGGTGAAGTCAAGGCCTGGTGTGCGTTGGGAAGAGGGACCAGAAGCCCCCCAAGCCGGGCTGCTTTTTCTCTCACCGCCCCCTCCCCCCCATATTGCAGGAGCGGTGGGTGGGCTCTCCCTCCTCAGCCCACTTCCACTCCAAATCCACCCCATCCCAGCCCCACTCCGCCCGTCCCCCCATTCATTCTAAGGCTGGCCACTGGCTCCCCACCCATCTTCACCGGTGACCTCAGCATTGGTCTGCAGGATGGTCCATCCTTGGCCTTGTCCTCCTGATGACCCCACTCCACCTGCCACTGCCATGGCCACCCCCAAACCTCGTGTTTCCAACACCTGCAGCTCCCAGTCTCTGTCCTGGGGTCCTGCTCTCTCGCTGCCACTCCTGCTTCTCTGGGACTGCACCCCAGTGCCCTCAGCCAATCACCTCACCATCCGGCCCCACACAGCTCCATGTCCCAGCTTCCCGCCCTCCTACATTCTGGCCTTCCCTTGTCTCTCTCTGGCAAAACCCAACCTGGCCCTGTGCTCAGCAGCCTCTGCCCTCATCTATCCACTCAGCCATTTATTCACTGTGCTGCCCCACCCCCACCCATCCCCCTTCCCATCCTGTCTCCCACCATCCACAGGGACATTTAAGCCAGATGAGGCTGTCATGGTGGCCTCCCACCTCTCACCCCCTCACATCCACTCAGGCATCAATTCTGCCCACTTTGTTTCCCAAACCCACCTGGATGCCCAGGGGTGGCTTTCAGGGTCTTCCCAGCAGGCTGAGGAGCCCACCACACCTTGAGAGCTACCGAGGGAGCTCCAGGGAGGGACGGTCCGCACTGCAGACCTGCCCTGCCAGCCTGCCAGGGGACGGCTCCCACCCAGCAGCACCTAATGTGGAGCACCACCGCCCCGCTCAGGTGAGCTTCCTGGCCTGGGGCGGGCTGGACACCCAATGCCCATCAGCAGGCCTGCAGAGCCGGGCTGGGTGGGTGGGGGCCACAGGAGGGCTTCCCAGTGTGGGGGGTGAGCAAAAGGCTGTATTGGCCCAGCTCCCCGAGGCCACTGCCTCCACCGTCATCACAGTGGACACACCCTCCCCTGGGAGGGCCGGTGGGTGCCATGTAAAGGAGGCACAGCAGCAAGGAAGCCGAGACCAAGGGGCACATGGGGTGGGTCCCGAACCTGTCCAAGATTCCTGCCCCTCCCTGTGCTGCTGGGGTGCCATCCGGGGTGTCTGTCACTGCAGCCGTGGGAACTCGGTGATCAGCCTGGGCTGTAGGTGCAGGCAGGCCACGTGGCGCATAGCCAGGCCCGGGGCAGGGCTGCGGTGAGGGCTGCAGACCAGGAAGGCCTTCGGGCTCTTGACCCAGCACGAACTGGCCGTGTGCCCTTGGACAGGCCCCTCCCCACTGGCATCCCCGCTGCAAAACGGAGGCTGAGAGGACTGGAGAGGGAGTGTGCACAGGGGTGAGGCGCTGCCTGTTACAAGATCCTGCTATCAGGGGGAGGCTGGGAAGGTCCTCCCTCAATCCCAGCGGCCTGCGGAGCTGCCAGTGAAGGTGACTTCTGACCTTCCAGACCTTCCAGAGGATCAATGCCTGCCGTTTGAGCCACATCTCCAAGATAACTGTCAAGTTCAAAGAACAGTCAGTACCTAGGCCACCGTCTGCAGGAGTGGAGTGTTCCCACGGCTGGGACTCACCCAGGGGACATACCCGACGTCTTCCAGGAACTGAGACAGCCCCGGGCTCCAGGGGGGTTGGGAGGGGTGGGGGGAGGGTGCTGGCTGGGGAGGTGCTGGGGACCAGGTTTCCCCTTCATTACACAGTCTGGGTTTTGTCCGCATTTTTATTTTTTGCCACATTAATAGATTACTTATTCCAAATAGAATAAACATAAATTTAAGTCAGGAAGAAAATAAATTATCAAGGAAATTGATAAAAACCCCACACTTCTCCCAACCCCTCTTCCCACCCAACCTGTCGGTAATGTGTAACCGTCAGGGCTCACAGTGGGAGTGGGGGACCCTGGTTTTTAGCATTTGCCTGGGTTCTCTCAGAGGAAAGAGGCGAGAGAAGCCAGGGGGCTTTAAGGGGGAAGGAGCTGCTGCCTGGGACCCCAGGGAGGGGACACTGTTAACAGGGTCTGTGACACACCCGAGGACACGTCTCCCAGCCCCCTCCTGGCCCCCTCTTCCTGGAAACGCCGGCAAGCCCAACCTCACAGGCTGGTGCTGGATTAAATGGGGTGTGAAGGCACTGGAGAGCTGGCCCGCTCCTGCAGGGAGAGCCGGGGGCCCTCTCTCCTGCCCACCCTGGGGGGGGCGGGGGGGACCAAAGCTTTTTGGCTCAGCAGTTGGGAAGGAAAGAGCCTCCATCCAGGCTGGTAGCTTGGGACACAGGGTGTCCAGGATTGACCCCAAGAGGCTGAGAAGTGGGGATGGGCACCCACAGCCTCCTCGAGGCGCCCTTAGGAACCTCTTCGGCTGGGTTAGGTCTAATCTCGGCTGGGCAATTCCACTCACCCTCCTGCCAGCGGCCATGTCTGACCTGAGCACAGCTGGGTCCTCCCGGAGAGCTCACAGCACACAGCACGTGCTCCCAGCCCTGCCCAGCGGGAGGAGGA